ACCACCTCCTCCACCAAACCGATTTCTTAATTTCAATGACCCAACCAACCCTTTTTGACTTGACCATGGGGACAATCCCTCAGTTTCTCTCGTCCCCGACCTCCTCATTATCGACGACTACACCACTTGGCCCCGTGCAATGCAACGTGCTCTTCGAGCCAAGAACAAACTAAGATTCGTTAACGGTGAACTCACCAAACCCACAAACCCATCTGACCCTTTACTTCAACCATGGGAACGTTGTAACAACATGATTACTTCTTGGCTCCAAAACTCGATCTCTTCCTCCATCAAATCCAACATTGCGCTCGTCGATGATGCCTCTGCTATCTGGCTTGAACTACGAAAGCGTTTCACTTAACAAAATGGCTCTCGAATCTTTCACCTCAAGAAAACACTTGCTGGACTTCATCAAGATCAAGATTCGATAAGCGTTTACTTTGGAAAATTGAAAGCCATTTGGGATGAACTCAACCTGTTCGACCCATTGCCTAACTGTACTTGCAGTCCATTGAAAATCCTTTCGGATCGATATCACAGAGATTACGTTATTCAATTTTTAATGGGCCTAAATGACTCATTCCCAATTCTCATGACCAGATTATGCTTTTTGATCCCCTCCCCTCTGTTCGCAAAGTCTTTTCCCTGATCTACCAGCAAGAACACCAACACCTCATGCTCAACAAAAACCCTTCCCCTATCAAGAAATTTTATCGCACCTCCAAACACAAAAACCTCACCCCTATTGTACTCACTGCCATTTATCTGGTCGCACTCTTGAGAATTGCTTCAAAGCAAGCAACGCTGAGCCTCCCACTTGTACTCATTGCCACATGAGTGGCCATGTTGCTAAAAAGTGCTATAAACTCCACGGTTATCCCCTAGGGCACAAACTCTTCAACAAAACTAAATCCTCACCAGTGTTTGCAAACTCTATTTCAATTGAACCAGATGAAGACTCCTCTGCCACGATTGCCCTTACAAAGGACCAATATCATCAACTCCTTAGTTTGTTGCATTCTTTTCTTCTCTGATTTTTATTTTCTTCAGGACCTTTCGTCTTAGACAACGATTGGGAAGGGTGAAGTGAGGCGAGGACTTTATCACCTGTTGCATACTGCAGTGCCTTCCACAGCTCTTGTCGACTACCTTTCCACTCTTTCAAATAAACATGACTTTGTCTCAACTTCAATACTCACCAATACACAGATATCTGATACCTGGCACTATAGGCTAGGCCATACCTCTTACTCCAGAATTTCTTTAATCAAAGACCCTATTGTAACCTCTCATATTTCTAATACAAATGATGTTCCTTGTTGCATATGTCCACTGGCTAAACATCACTGATTGCCTTTTTCCAGTAGCACACATTACACTTCTCGTTTATTTGAAATTATTGTTTGTGATATATAGAGTCCTTACTCCGTCATTGCCCATGATGGCTCAAAATATTTCTTATCTATTGTTGACCATTTCTCCTGCAACACATAGGTTTAACTTCTCAAAAATAAGTCCCAAACTCGATCATGCATTGAATCTTTTTGTAACCTTGTGGAAACACAATTCAATCTCAAAGTTCAAATCTTAAGAAGTGATAATGGTGCTGAATTCAATATGGCCTCATTCTTTAATCAAAAAGGCATCATCCATCAAACTAGTTGCATTGAAACACCCCAACAAAATGCCCTTGTGGAACGAAAACATCAGCATTTGCTAAACATAGCAAGAGCTCTAAGATTTCAAGTTGGACTCCATTAACATTTTGGAATGAATGTGTGTTAATTGCTGCCTATATCATCAATAAAATTCCCTCCCCCTTACTACACAATAAAAGTCCATTAGAAATCCTTTTTCATAAACCTCCAACCTACTCCCATATGAGAACTTTCGACTACCTAGGCTTTGCTTTAACCATTTCAAATGGCCGAACAAAATTCGATCCACGAGCTAGGCAAGCCATTTTCATTGGCTACCGATTTGCTGTCAAAGGATACAAGCTCCTTGATATGCAAAATCACACTATTTTCATCTCCCGGAATGTCTTTTTTCATGAAACAATTTTTCCCTTCCTTCATCAACAATCTCCTCCACGTAACTTTCAGTCCCACTCTCCTCCCTTCCCCATTCCAAATCCTCAACCAGTCCACACAGCTACTTCACCTCCCATTATAACCCCTTTAGATTTATCCCAAACTAACCCTCATCCCTCTTCCCCATCTCCCACACATAACCATTCCTCCATATCACCACAACTCCGCAAGTCTACAAGAACTTGGAAAGCACCCTAGTATCTATAGGATTATCATTGTAATCAGACTCATTTCACCTCTTCTCAAGCGTTGGACAAGATGCCTACAACAGGTGCTGTTTTTCTTATACACAAAACACTTTCATATCATCGTTTATCACCTACTTTTTCCACTTCCATCTCCTCCCATCTTGACCCACAAACTTACAAACAAGCTATTAAGGACCTAAGATGGTGTGAGGCTATGCAGGCTGAACTGGAAGCTCTCGAGCTAAACAAAACTTGGGTGTTGATTGATCTTCCTCAAGGAATCCAACCTATTGCTTGTAAATATGTTTACAAGACAAAATACCATTCGGATGGCACGATAGAAAGATTAAAAGTTAGACTTGTTGCCAAAGGCTATACTCAATAAGAATGGATCGATTATCACTAGACTTTTTCTCCTGTGGCCAAGATTGTCACTGTTCGATGTCTTCTAGCTATTGCAACCATTAAGGGCTGGCATTTGCAACAATTTGACGTAAATAATGTTTTCCTTCACAGGGATTTGGATGAAGACATATATATGGTAAAACCCTCCGGATATACAAAAGGCAAACCTGGTCAGGTATGCAAACTCCTCAAAAGTTTACATGGACTCAAGCAAGCTTCACATCAATGGCATGCAAAATTTTCCAATTCTCTCATTCACTATGGTTTTACACAGTCAACTTCCGATTATAGTTTATTTACCATGATAACTAAAGATTCATTTACAGCTTTGTTAGTGTATGTTGATGACATTGTTGTTGCTTCCAATTCCATTGTTTGCATTGAGTCTCTCAAAAACTTTCTGAACACTTGCTTCAAAATTAAGGATTTGGGTCCACTATGATATTTTCTCGGCATTGAGGTAGCAAGATCTACCAAAGGAATTCATTTGTGTCAACGAAAATACACATTGGATATACACTCAGACTCTGGTACTCTCGGCTCCAAACCTGCCAAACTACCTATGGATCAAAATCTCAAGTTGCATAAAGACTCCGGCACTCCACTCCAAGATCCTAGCTCTTTCAGGAGACTCATTGGCAAGCTTCTTTACTTGACAATCACTAGGCTAGATATCAGTTATTCAGTCCAACTTCTGAGCCAGTTCATGTCTCGACCAAGTGATCTTCACCTACAAGCCGCACACAAGATTTTAAAGTATCTCAAAAGCAACCCAGGTCAGGGTCTTCTCCTCTCGGCAAACTCCCCTCTTCAGTTGCATGGTTATTGTGATTCCAACTAGACATCATTCCTGATACTCGAAAATCAACCACTGGTTTTTGCCTCTTCATTGGACAATCCCTTGTCTCTTGGAAATCCAAAAAGCAGTATATTGTATCACGTTCTTCTGCCGAGGCTGAGTACCATGCTATGGCAGCCACTTGTTGCGAGTTTACATGGATTCGTCAAATATTTCATGACTTGCACATTCCACATCCTAATCCTGGCATTCTCCATTGTGACAATCAAGCAGCCTTACATATTGCTGCAAAACTCATTTTCCACGAACGTACCAAGCACATAGAAGTGGATTGTCACATCATTTAAAACAAAATTCAAGAGGGAAGCATTGCCACTGCCCATGTCCCTAGTCACTCACAATTAGCCGATATATTCACTAAAGCACTCTCTTCTAATGTGCTTAATACTCTTCTTTCCAAGATGGGAATAGTTAATCTCTATTCTCCATCTTCTGGGGGGTGTATTGGACAATAATCAACTTGAAAATGAAGATCAAATGCACTTGCAAATCACCACTCCTTTACAAAAGGGCCCTCGACACATTTCAGATGAGAAGGGGTAGTCATGGTCTACATTGTAATTTAATAGTCAATTATTTTGTTGCTGAGTTGTACAAAGATTAGTGGTAGAGTTAGTTATTCTTTTTCTTCGAGAATCATCTGTACATAAGGCATATATAAGCTATTTTTGTACTGGTTTATGATATACAATACAATATACTCAATTGAGTAATTCTTCAACCAAACACTGTTTTTATCTTTTTCCAAAGCTTTTATTGTGCTCTCTTTTTCAACTATAACACACAATGATGTCGGAATTAAAAATAAAATATAAATTTGAATAGTAAAATAATATTTTAAAAATCTATGTGTGAAAAAGTGTCATTAAACCATTATTTGAGTGAAAAAATATGTTTACTCTCTGTACAAAAAAGAAAGTAGGTTTAATTTAATTTAACAAATAAAATATATAAGAGGGTTTTATAATTAATGAAGAAAAGAGGGGTTTGTGAATGATGAGTTGAATAGAGAGAAACAGGCATCCAGCAGAATAGCAGATCATATTTGAAGGTACTCTGAGTAAAATGGCAGTGCTACTTTCAGGTTCAGCACTACAAAATTGTAGGAGCAGAAATATGCAGAATAGCACATGCAACATAACAGGAGAGAGGGAGGGAGAGCAAATGGCGGAAAATTTATGGTCATTACTCATTTTTACTTGGTAAAAATAGTCTCAAAATGTTCCAAACATATGAAGAAATACATCTAATCAGTCATTTCATTCCTAATACAAACCACTAAGACAGAAACTTGAGAAATTATACATAAAAAAACCTTAAACCTTCTCACTAATTAAAACCAAAAACAAAAATTTGACTAGAACTACACTACCATTTCATAAATATTTCATCAACTTTGTACATCATCATCAAGTACTCTAATACTAACACAAGAAGAAAGAGAAAAAAAAAAAAAAAGACAATCACAAAAACTCAAAGAAAACTTCTCCTAGTTAACCTAGACAAAACTATGTTTTTGAGTTTTGACGATTCAACTAATTAGTGTCTACTCATGATCAGTTTGCTTTCTCGACATGGATTTTGAAGACGGTGTCCAAGTCAGGTGGAGTGAAGAACTCTCGAGCTCCATTAAAATGGCATCTTGATGATGGAGGTCTGCGCTTTCTTGGGGCAGGTGGGCATGGTAGTCTCTCTGGTATTCTTGATTCTCTGGCTGTTGGAGTAGTTGAAAAGGCTTCTTCGTCTTCGTCTTCACCTCTCGGTTTGGTATTCACAGGCTTCAGTGAAGTCCGTATAGCGATTCCAGCGATTAACCATTTCTTGCCTTCACTGTCTAACCCAACTTCCGTTTGTGATTTCTTCGAAAAACCCATTTCAACTTCACCACTCGAAGTATGAAAAAAAAGAAACAGGGCAAACGAACTCAAGTTTTAGCCCCCAAAAACAAAAAAAAAAAAATTCGGAAGAACCAGAGAAAGGGGGTGACGGGATTCTGAGGAATAAGAGAAAAGGGGGATTTGGAGAGGGAAAATGAGAAGGAAAGTGAGGGCTTTGAACGACAAAATTCTAAGAGAAAGAGAAAGTTTTTAGTGGAAAATAAAAAAGAGTTTGAGTAAGAGAGAAAGAGAGGTTTATATAATGGATAAATTAAGCGTGTTCTAAGCACAAAGACAATTGGGCTAAAAAGAGAGGCTCGGTCTGCCCGGTCATTTACGGGCAGCTGAAACCGAGTGAAAGGGAATTTTGGCGCCAAAATTTAGTGGGCAATCTCGCAACGGCTCTTTTTCCCGCCCATTTTATGTATTTTCAGATTTGCCCTTATTATTATTGTTTTTATTTTTTGGGAAGTGACACGGGCAGAGCAGTCAGGCCATAATCATCGCCTTATTGCTCAAGGATTCCGTATACGGCAGCCGTTATGAGAAAAAATGTCCACAATTATCAATTAATACGTCATTTTTCTTAAAATAAAAATCAGTGATATTAATTTAACTCGTAAACATTAAATAATGTTAATCATGCCGACATGAACTCTTATTGATTTGATTGGTTGAGGAGAGTAATTATTCTCTAATCATGTATTAGTTAATTGTAAACTTCAAATTTAATGAGCTTCGCATTTATTATTAACAAAATTGTCACCAATTAAGTAATGTACTATGATTAATTCATAAATCTGATTATTTTAAACTTTGAATTTGATTTGAAGACAAAGAAAATGGTCAATGTTATGCCGCCAGGTAACCAAGATGTGTCCTCTTCGCACAAAAGGATAAATTCCAACCATAAATCGATTTTGACGACTAGTCCTTGTCTAGCAACCATACAAAAATCACAAGGCACCCACAAAATTAGACTGGGCCTGTCACGGCCCAACCCTACTCACACTAAACCCGGCCCAATAACGCTCTATCAAACCCGATTATTAATGTTATTACTCTTAGAAAATTGCGGTTAATTTAATTAAATCCCTGATGTTGTAAGATAAAATCGCAAAATGAAAGAGGCCATGGAGACAACAGGGAAGCTTCCAAGTTGGGAGACAGTTGGGTCACGTAACATGGTGACAGTCAAACGGAAATGAGACGGGAAGAGTGGGGTATGGTGGGCGGCAGGCGGCTAGTCGAGGGCCAGGTCTGAAGAGGAGCCGACGTGACGCCACGTAGGAATCCACTGCATGCATGCCTTTGCATTATTCTTTAATCACATCACATGGCGGCCTTGTCACGTGGGTCCTACATTTAACATTTCTATACTGGACCCGAGTCCGACCCGATGAAAGCCATTGGTGTCAAAACCAACCGGGCTGGATCAATTCGGGGCTTCTTTACTTATTGAATTGAATATTTAAAAAAAAACAGGAAGATTGAATTTTAATAGAAACTACAAACATCATATAATATCCCTAGACAATGTCAATAATCACATCAAAATCATGATATATTTATATCAGTACACTTATCCACCATTCATACCAACTCAGGAACTTGGTCAGCAAATGGAAGCCGTTGGTTTCTGATATGATGAAAGGTAGGTAGTAGAGAGTATAGTAGTCGGATGATGTAGGGCCGCCACAGAACCGACCTTTGATAATCGTACTTTCAGAAGTGGGCGATGGGAGCCATTTGAAAGAGACCTTGTTGCCTCTTTTTATTCATTGGACCTCTTTAGAATTTATACATTTAACCAAAGTCAATTCAGAGCACAATTCTAATGAGTATAGACATCTCTCTATTGAAAAAAGAGACAAATAGAAGAGTAATTTGATGATTTTAATACTGAAAAATGTATTAAAGCATAGTTTGTGACAAAATTGAATGCTTGCTTTTGAGATTAATATAGTGCTGGGTAATTTGAATTACAAAAAGAGCTAAAACACTCGATTTCTCTTCATTTATAAAAAGATTTCCCAATATGGTTCTTTTAAATATGTTTGGATTGCATGCTGAAACAGTTGTGACCGTTGATCAAACCAGAAAGACAGATCTGAGTGGTAGTAGCCACACACAAGCTTTATAAATTGGCTGCATAATTTTCCCACGTAGGGGGCGGCGAAGAGTGACAAGAATACTTTGTTTTGGTCGGTTTGATTTCGATTACCTTTGGTTTTGGTGTGTCACTTTACACATGCAGTCTTTAAAATTCCACTTAGCCACTCGCGTATAATTAATCAAATTTTTTATGTAATGTATCTACATAGTACACTCAATATTAGTTGTTAAAACTTGGATTTTTCTGAAATTTATCTATTTTTTAATAACAAAGTTATGAAGAGGAATCATGAAACAGGCAGTTTCTTGGCAGTGAGAACAGAATTTGTTAATATTTTTCTAATATTTCTGTTGGAGTCTATTAAGCATGTTTAATTCTATTGGTTTATAAAAGATAGTCATTCTCTCATTCAACAAGGTTTTATTGGGTAAGGAGTTATACCCACCTCAAATTTTATCAATCTTTTTTAAGTATATATCGATAAATTTGGTGTCTTTCACATCACAAAGACAATTTAAAAGGATTTTGATACGACACTCCATCTGTTTTCTTTCATCATCATAAAATTTGAAGTCAAGATTAGGACCGGCAGCCTTGCGAATGAAATGAAGTAGAAATTAATTTCATTCACCATCAAGCTAAGGTTGTATGCAAAAAAAAAATTATAAAGAATATACAAGTTGAAATCTTAAGTGAATTGGATTCATGGGAAACCTTTAATGGTGGACCCCTAAATGGAGCTAATTCTTGACCATATAATATGATTTTTTTGGTATTATGCTGAAGATTCCTTCAAATTAATAGTCATTAAATAATTTTTTTAATGAACTTTTCATCATGAGATCGAGATCAGTTTAATCTAATCTTCGTTAATGGAATCAAACACATCATGTACAGAGTGAGACAAGTGGGCCAACCTTACTTTTTTGCTTATTTTCTTCCTCTAATTCATTGCCTTCGTATCATTAAAGCTAATCTTTGAATTGATTACCGTCAACTAATTCTCAATTTCGCTATTAGATCTATAGAAAAACCTGGTAAAATTACAACATCATAGTAGTTGTAGTTCTATCAACAAACTCCCATAGCATTGGCTCTCACTTATGTTAATAGAATATGAAGTAGAGTTTACATTACTCAAATGTTATTTTCAAGGACTTTGTTATGCTTCCAAAATCAAGCTGATGTCAGCTCAACAAGTGCTTAAAAGACAAAGTGTACTAATTGTCAAGTCTATACCGTCTCAGAGACATTTTATACAAATCCTATCTAATTTTAAGATAAAGACGAACGAGAGTTCTCCACGTGTTAAGGCAATTTAATTGCAAGAGCACTCATTATATTGACCTCAGAGATGTATAAATTGGCACCTTTCTTTTTAAAAGAGGGGAACTGGGCAAATGAGAGCTAGGCAAACATTTGAGCCTCATTATTCCTCTCTGTAAACAAAGTATTTCTCCATCTTTGTATGTCTTACAGGCTATATTATAAAAATAGTCAAAGAATAATAAAATAATAGTGGATGTAGAATTTGCTTTAAGCATCCGAATCACTATAAAAACCTCTATTGTCTATCTATTATTTATGTTTTCTGCAAACATATATAATCTCAGCACCATATTCAAATCTCATGAATTCATCACGTGTAATTTCTAAGACTCTCTTAGCACTTTGCACGTGCAAGTCATTGGTGTCAAAATCAAGCATCAACAGACTTATCGAAATTTTATAAATTACCCACAAGAGAATTACCAATGACTTTTTAAAACAATCTAGAGTAATATGAAATTAAAAACAATAAACACACACAAGTAAAGAGAAAGAATAATACTATGCAATTTACCATAATTTACCTAAGCTACGTCTAAACAAAGTTAAAATTATTGAAATACAGTCTCACTCCTCTCATTAAATATATTTTACCCTATGATTTGTTATTACACTCTTACAAGAGAAAAATAAGTTTATATATTAAATTTAAAGAGTAAAACCTAATATTACAAGTATTTTTTCCTCCAAGCTCAAACTCAATTATGAATTAATTACTCAGCGAAATCCAGTAATCCGCCTCTAATTGTTTAGGCGTGGTCGATAACTCTAACACTTTCAATGATCTGTTGTCATCGAAAAACGACATTTCTTAGAAGTTTTAACTCTTGGGAATAGACACTTTTGATGTATTGTAGCCAGATATAAAATGGTTTTAAGTTGAGATGATCTTATTAATAAAGGAGAATTTTCTAATTTTCTGCAGTTAAGAAAGACAATTTTTCATGATGATGAACTGGAAAACTACATGAAGAATCAGAAAATTATGTTCCGTAAACGCAACGGGGTCTTTCATTGAGCTATAAAAACTCTGAACATGAGCAGTTACAATCATTAAAAAAAAGAAAAAAGAGAAGAAAACCCCACAAGACAAAAGCATATTAGCCTTCTGACAAAAAGAAAACTGCAAGATTCAGGAATTTCTTTCGGTAAGTGGCAACATCACACCAATTAATCTAAAGAAAACTTATCAAAAAAAAAAAAAAAAAAGGAATGAGCAGTTTCGGTAGAGAGCTGTACAACAGCTACAATAATCAGTAGGAGGGACCATCGATCAACTGGCCAGCTCACCAATATATTAACATAAAACAAGTGGCTTTTGTCCTCAGTAGCCTACTTTTGCAACAATCATATCCATCAAAATGATCAATAATCTTATAGACAGAAATTGAGCCTTAATTCCATTCAAGAATTGCCATACGAATAAACCCAACTTTTTTAAGCTGGCTTTTGCAGAGATTGGATCGACACGTTGAAGTTTTTTATGTTATTCTCATGCAGTTGCATTTTAAACTCAACTGCTGCATGAGAAAATATTAATGGCGACTGAAGCAGAAACCCCAGAACCAGCTTCATTAACGGTATGTGCAAGATCACTTCTTTAACTCTACTGCATAGTTTTCTTTTTCTTTTTCTTTTTTTCTATTTACTACCTATAATTGATCAAGTTTGGAATAACAGTACTGTTTGTTCGAATATCAAATAACTGTGTTCAGGAAGTTTGTTTCTGGGTCATTAAGATCGTAAGAAGACTTCACATA